TTTTTTTAGTGTAGAGCGATGACCTATGATAAATGTGTATATTAGTAAATTCCCTGCTTGATAACGTTGTAGTCGGTTAATGATTAACTTCATCTATCAATGTAAATACTTCCCAATGGGAACACAACTACTTCGATGTAAGCTTAATTAACAAAAACTGTAAGAATCCATTTTGATCCATTAACTAAGTAAAAGTTAAGATTAACACAAACAGAAATCTAGATTTAACACGACATACAAACTTAGTATTAAAAAAAATCTTTATTATAAATAATAGCCGAGTGTCTATTTTACTAATCACTAAGCTTATCTATCTATCTAATCAAATTCCAGTATTTCAATAAAGTTTCAGGAATTAACTTTTGTTCATTTTCGATGTTTCCATCACCTGAGAAATAGTCACGAAAATAAAACGTCATCCATACTCGAATTTATATGTACATTGTATATATAGAGTAGTATATAGTACAATATATCAGCTCTGATACAAATTAAATTTGAATCACAAAATTTAATAATAATATTGGATACCTTTATCATAAAAAACATGTGCAAAATCACGAATACAGCTAAAAATCAATGCTCAACGTTACATGCACACATAGTAATTGGTATAACAATTTTCTAATCGCAAATATTATCGTTTATTACGACTAGTCCCAGCGGAGAGAGTTGAAGAGTAGGTATTTGCATATGCAAATAGTACCTCACGAATGTTGATTGGTGATGTGTTGGTTAAACCAATTTAATGCATTACACGTATATATACCTTGTAACTTTGAACAGAAGGGAATTTAAACCGTTTACACTTTTAATAATTATACAGCAAAGTTTAATTCGTTCAAAGTCCCAGTTGGATTACATAATATTAAACTCATATTGACGACAAAAAAAATCATTGTTTATTCAATTGTGTAAATTTCTTTTAAGTTATGTATACTACAATAATTTATTAAAATAATATAGTTATCTTTTAAGTTAGGAGTTACATATAATCTTATTAAATAAGACATATAACCTTAAACTAGAGGACCCGTTTAATTCAGAACGGGAAATAAGCTTGAGTACTAAAGTGCCAAACACCGTATCAATAACGAATTTATGATTGTTGAGATCAAACTTTACTATTTAATTGCGAATTTGATTGGGAATAAATGTGTAATTTACGAGAATGATTAGCCGGAAGCTTATCGTCTCCGTGTTCCAGTAATGTATCGCGAAATTGCTATAGAAGTTTTACAAGGACTCGTTAGGGGGGTTGTAACGATAACCGCGGTAGATAACTGTTTCTAATCAGACGTAATGACACAGCGTTGCCGCCGCCGCCGCCGCCGCCGCCGCCGCCTAGAGAGCTCTCTCCGCGCTAGGGTGTCGACGGAGACTGCGGCTTGCGACCTCCCTTTCGTCTCCTCTTCATAAGATCGCTTGTTTAATTTCATTAAGTAAATATACGTTTGGAAATAGGAATACGAATCGTCTGGGCTTATTAAAGCGTTATGCCAGCGACTGTTATTTCGAGCTACTTGTACATATGAGATTATGTTAAATATAATACATGTATATTACGATATCTTATCTAATTTTAAATTAAGTAAGATTTTTATAATATTTATATTTTCTTTAATAAATAATTTAATTATTCTTTCTTTATAAAAGTGTCTAAACTATATAATATAGGATCAGTAATATTTTCTTCATGTCTGTTTCCTGTCTATAAAATATTAGTTGAACATTTCTATAAGTTGCCTCCTTCATTCCTTTCTTCGGAAATTCACTACATCTGAATATTTTTATTTAAAACAACATACATTTTACTTTCAAGCTTACTTTAAAAATAGCCGGAGAACCCTACGGACGCGAGTACGTTCTCAAACACGCTCATAGCCGCTTTTTTATAAAGACCTCTCCTACAGGATCCAGAGAGGATGGGTTCTTCTGATATAACGATATACTGGCGGAAGTAATAAAATAAAACGATTTTACATCTCCAGGGGGAAACGAACGTTTTTGTTGAATGGGAAAAGTCGCGAGCGACTTCTCATTCCGCGATAAAATCGAGAACGTTTTACGACAATCTTCTATTCGATTACCGTTAAACAACAATCTTAAAACAGAGTTTCTTTCACTTTCATGATAGATATAGAATACTTTTAGAACACAGTATTTATTAGTTCCGACGAGTTTTATGTTTCTCATCGGCAATCGGAAAAAATACTTCTAGTTAATAATAATTCATTGACTGTAAGTAGGTACACCTACGTATTCGCCAGTTTCGTATTATCTTCGATATTTCGAATTCTTCGATATTTCGAACTTATTTTTTATTAATAAAAGTTATTCAGTACCTGAATGTAGGTGTACTAGTTAGTGAACAGGTATCGCATGTAATCTCCTTAGTCTTTAACTACAGTAAATATATTATATATTAAGAAAATAAGTATCTGAATGTTCTTGGACGATCACGTCACGAACGTAGCAAGTGAAAATTAAAGAGTGATTTTAGATTACCGCGATTATACTTTTAGCAGTGTATAAAACGGCTGTTAATTTTGTTTCAAATAACTTATTCTAGTTAGTGTAGGAAATCTAATTCAAATTTATCTAGTAAAACATTTACTCGTATTCAAATCACGAAATGCACTAGCAAATAGCTACTGTATTTTGCATTGCACGTTTTGTGTTCTTCGAACCTTCTATAAATCTGTACAGGCAACAAAACACTGGTTGTACGGTAGTGGTGATTTAAAAAGGAATCCTGTAAGGTTCATGTGCTGAGGCACGTTTAGCTGTTTGTAATATGCGGCCCAGTTGAACATACGTAAAGTAACCGCGTCCGAGGTGACCGCGAGGGCTCCGCTCAGCGTTGCCGCATAATGAACTGGTCACGTAGCCACATTTCGTATTATTTCCCTGGGACGCGTCACGTGACTAGAATAAATGTGGGCGGACGGTGTGCCGTGGACGGCCCACGGCTCCAGCGCCTCCTCGGACCCTCCACAAATAAACCGCTTCACGCACGATTCGGCAGCGGAGATTCATTATTCTAACTCTTACTTGCCGATTCATAATATATTGGGAAAGTTCCCATTTCAAGTATAAATTTCATTCGAAATCAGCAGCCGAGTTATGAGATCTTTTCCCAATTCATAATAATAAGATTTGTGGCGGAATGGGATAGGAAAACTATTAAATGGTAAGTAATGGTACGTTTAACTTTTTTTTTTTTTAGTAACATCAATAATGTGATAATCATTTAACTTTTTCCTAATCGTTTAGTGAAAGCAGTGTATTTAATTCATTAACTTCCAATTCGATTCAAATACGTACCTGCAAAATAAACTTTAAATACGGCATCGGTATTCAGTGGAATTTCTACTTTAAATGCCATTTACTTCCAGATACAGCAAAATCCATTATTTATGGAATTAAAAACTTCGATAGTTACAAAGAAAAATGGTGCTGTTCATTTATATGGGTGCCTCCAAGTTCTAGTTGGCTAAAATGTTAGTTCTTTACTAAAAGCATTATAAAACACTTCATAATACTTAGCTTTTAAAGAAACGAATTTGTAAAACAGTCTTTATTTAATATTGGGTGTGGTTTTCTGCTATATTGAGCCCAGAGGACGAGGCTCGGCACTGTGAATTGAATATATGAATTGAATAGAAAATAAATTATAAGAAATAGATATCTCATGTAATACTCATATGACGCAATAATAAAATTTAATTGATAGATAGAATAAGAACATGACAGTTAAATTGTAATAATATAAAGTAATTGTGAATATGAATATAGGTATGAGTGAAGTTTTGGATAGATAGCTATAGTACGTAAAAGCAATAAAGACATCACACAAGGCGCTGGGCACACACTCGGAGTACGGTAAGCAGTTTACTGTGAGGCAGGCTCGCTCATAACTACCCATTCTCCTAGGAATAATGTCGGACAACAAGCGACATAATGTTTATTTCAGACAAAGTCCACAATATACCAGATCCATAGATAAATGTGTCCCGAGTATTATCTACAATACCTATCATTACAGTTATCTCACATTATTATCTTCTATATGAACCTAATGCTTTCTTTGTGCCTCTTTTAGCGCAATGGTAATATACGTTTTTATTAGTGAATACGGTTAGGGATTAAACTCTTAAAATTTAAGAAAAGATAGATTGGTTTTGCTTTATGTTTAAATTATTTACTTAGATGATAATTCGATTTCTCTGAGTGCTCTGGCCAATAGGTGATGCTATGGTCCTGTTACTGTCATTATTTCTTTACAATTGTTAGACCACATAATACGTACAATTTCGAATAATAGGAGATCTTTAATTTTAAACTTTCGTGTTTAATATACATTATTTAAATTATTAACCGGGTCTTAACACGAATAATTTATGGCAAATGTATTTACCTCTCTCGACGTTTCGACATACAATTCGTAACAGCGATGTCAAATATATACGTCACTAGTTGTTTATGTCTTTTGATTTAGTACTAAGATGAAATATATAATATGTTGATGGTGATTCAGTATCATACTAGTACTTTCTATAGTTTTCTACAGTTAACTAGCACTTTATATCAATAAATTAATTAAGCCAAACAAATATATACCTAGTTTATCTGTCTTTTGATTCAGTACTAAGATGATATATATAATATGTTGATGGTGATTTAGTATCATACATTAGACTTTAATTGAAGAAGAAATAAATATATTTTATGTCCTATTCAACACGTGCTATTTGACAGGTAGAGGTCTGTGTCGAATGAACTGCATTAATATTAGGTCATAAGATGTGCAAAGAACTATTATTAAATTAAAAAATTAATTATGCTTTTGTGCCTAAATGTAGGCTATTCAAATACGATTGCATAACAACAGATTTGAATGAAATTTGCAAACAGATAAACACTTTAATTGACGTAATCTCGCCCCTGAGATATAGATATTGTCCTAAAAAAATTAAGTAAAAAGGTAAGCATTTTACCTTGGATTGCCTCGAAGTGCAGCGTGGTGCAGAGCATTGAAACCATTGTTGTTAGTTAAAGTCATGTCTGCTCCATGCTCCAATAATAATGTTAACATGTCGTCACGTTTCTTGGTGATGGCATCATGTAGAGAGGTGTCACCCTCGGAATCCTAAAACAAACAAAACGTTTATAACTTTCAGTGTGTTATTATAAAAAGAACCATTGATAAATCGATTCGAAACTCTCAAATACTAAAACTAATTTGTAATCTAAGAAAATCCTGGAATCCGGTGCCAGCTGTGCCGACAACATTCGGCTCGTGAATTATAAAGCATAGCCCGTCTCGAGTATCGCGACGATTTTCTAAAACATCAAACCGCTCGAATGAATAATTGAGGTGGCGGAGAAGGCGTTTAGGGCGTGGATTATGGCGACTTGCATAATTTATAAGCATCTCAAAGTGGTTAAAGAGAGCAGCGAAAGGCGAGCACGAGGCTCGGGCGAGGCACTGTGCGTTGCCGATTGCCGGGCGCAGGGAGCACAGGCAAAATCAGAAAATGGTGTCGAGTTCCGTAATATAGGGAGAACAGCGCAAAAAGCGCGGCCACCGCGTCATTATCATAATCACCACCACTGCGTGCCGCTACGGTGCCGCCCAAGCCGTTTCGCTTTGTGAGCGTGCATTAAGAGAGCTGAGCATTGTGCTCTGTCATTCAGCAATTAATTTGCAAGAAACTGCTAAGAGTATCAGTTTCAATTATAAATAAAAACTGAAAGCATAGGTGCATAGGTACAACGTTTATAGCTATTTTTTAACTTCACTTAGAGAAATACAATATTAATTACACATATAAAATATATTAAGAAAGAGAAATTAATATTACATTGTATTTGTACTAATGATAATGTCAAAACACATGCATTTAGTAAGCAGTAATTCAGCTGAAGCTCAACCACAGATACGGTAATTTCGGGCAGAATAGCGGCATTAAATATTAATCGTATTGGCATATAGATGGCCATTACGTTGTGCAATTCATGCGGAGCGCTCGGTGCGATCATATCTGCGCATTACATGCTGATGCTAATTATTTGATTGTTGATAAGCCCATTTAATATTTCCATGGAAATATTTTATGGAAATAGCACATAATAAATAAATCAATTTACGAATACCGTATTCATTTCATAGCTATTTTCAAATTAATTAAACCTGCGTATAAAATGAGCTTTTATAACTTGAAATTACCTTTATTCTATTTGAAATTAGCAATTACGCATACGTATGTATGTAAGTATACGTACGTATTTATGACAGAAAATACTGACTAAAATAATGATCAAAGCATGATATGCATGGTAGATGAAAAAAGTAGATCACTTTAAGTTGTTATTGCGTGTATATAACAATTTATACTATCTATACTTACTAACATGTTATGTTAAATTGGTTATAAATATATAGTAACTATCTCGTGTTACATTCGTGCTTTAAATGTTAGGTGCTCAGGTAAACACATCCAAGCGGAATTATGTGTGGCGTCGCGGCGAAATAAGAAATTTGATTTACGTGGCAATATCCGCAGGTGCACATGAGCCGGAATGCACACAGCCTTACGAATATTATAGCCTAGTTGACGACCTCATACTCATAACACTACGTGCAAAGATATTTTAATTTAAATCTTATAACATGTACGAGTAACAATCAACGGGTTTATGATATAATAAAATTTATATGTATGACATTCTGGGCGAGTTGTGGAGGTATGTTAACCCGCTCAAATTAATTACGTACGAGGTTTATTATTTTTATTATATGTATTATAATTAAAGTATAAAGTACACACCTTTGTAAAAAAAAACATGTATTTTATTTAATAACGCATTACGGAAGTACGTACCATATATGGTATATGCGCAGATATACTGTTAAGTTAAAAAAAGTGAATTGCATAAGGATTAAGATTTCACTCTATTTATTTTAGTTTCACTCTTTATAAATAATTTGCTAAAAGGAAAGGAAGGAAGGAAGAGTACCTAACGGAAGAAACATAACTACACACGAACGCACAGCTGAAACTACTACACTTGCTAGACACACTGACGATTTTGCTACGAAAAATGATACGGATCTTAGAAAGTATTTACTATTTTTATTCAAAATTCTGACTTCGTATAATTTAGAGACGCCATCAACTATGTCTCGAATAAATAATTTCCAATATGAAATTATATAATTAATTTAGCCTATATATTGACACCTTGTTATGTGACAATTTTATATTAATTCCTCCATCTGTTTAGACGTGAAAGCTTAACGTACAAACAGATAAATAGACAAGCTTGTCCCATCATGGTTTTCTTTTATATGAAGAGAAAAGAAAAACAGAATTCTTAGACAATGTACAGAAAATCGATTTTTAAGCTTACCAAAAGATGGTTGCTCGTTATATCTATGTATACTGACAATATTGTGTAAAACAAGCTCAGTCAATGCCAAAACAATAAGAACAATGAAAGATAAGGGTAACGCATAGAGCATGAAAGGTAACAAGTGACGGCCCTGGGTCAACACGGTGGTGGGCCTAGAGCGGGCGGGCGGGCGAACGGCGTAGCAGTGGAGACGCTACAAACTGATTTCAGGGTTGAGATATCGCATCGCCTAAGCATTATTAAAATGTCACCTTGTCGCAATAGTAATGGATGTGTTAAGAGCGAAATAATGCAGGCTATTATAGCAAACAAGCAAAGGCTTGTAGTAAAAACAAGAGCAATTCCCGTAAACTTGTGGTATCAGCCAAATATGAAATTTTAATTTCGCAGTATCCGACACCAATTATACGAATGCAAATATAAGTGAGCATTTTATTTTAAAACATTCTATTCCACTCTGCGAGTTCATTCACTATACAAATATGCTGAATGTACAATGGATGAATTAGAGTCATTTATATTTTCACTTTTCGTAATACGGAAAAAGATATAACATATAAGATATTATTGAAGACTCATATTGGCCTGTATTTTATAGCAAACTGTCACTAGTTTAATCATAATCAAAGTAAGTAAATGCTAATTAATATGTTTTTTTAATTATGAATATTATTTCAACGCCTAAAAATACTCGCTGTCCTTACAAAACCTATTCTAGTAGAAAATTATATTTCATATTCAGATTGGACTGTACATTATATAGTCAATAAAAATGACTGCCGGTAAATAAAATAGTAATCCCGTAGGCGTATAATTGAAGACCTTACGGTGCTTACAGTGGTTCTTAATATATACAAAAGTTGGTTTCAATGGTATCCGACCAGAGCTTCATCATTGACGAGGCAGAAAGAAAGCAACTAATTGTTTAATTCCAACCCATTAAGTCGAGTATTACAGTAGGATTATTCACGGACCATATAGCGCGGCATCAGCGCGCGTTACCGCTGTAAAGCGCCACGGGGAAACGTTCTTCGTGTCGCCGAGTTTCTCCGAAGCGCTGTTGTATTTCTAACCACAAGTATGAATCAAATGAAGATAGCACTAATAATTTCGATGAAGATAACACATATTATTTATCATTAATATTATAACTTTTTTATGTAAAAATATAACCTATTTAATTATTTATTGATATTAAATTGTGTTCCTTGCAAGTTTCATTTGGTTCTAAGTTTTTTAATCAATCTCCTTCATTGCTAGCGCCATTTATTTTACAGCGTATACTGATGATTGGAAAGGGATTTTGAATTTATATTCATATACAGATAGTTCTTGCATTATATCTTTATCAAATTGCTAAGAGTATAACTGTCGTGGGAATGAGACAGCAAGGTATTTACATTGAACACTCATTTTGCTACGATACATTACACTCAACGAGCCGCTCTTTGAATTCGAAACATTGTCCCCCTATTTATGAACACAAGCATTCCTGTGACAGTCGAGTATTTATGCGACAGGCAACGCGTATTTTATATTGGTTCGGTGCTTTGAATTCTGATTGAAGACCGAAGTGAGGCAAGGTTTGAGCTTCGATAGAAGGGAATCATTTTTTTTTTGCATATTTACCAATAGAGTTTGGATTTACGATCATCACTCATATTTGGCAAGAGTAGTATGTCTATGTGTGTGTTGGTACGAACAAGTTTTTATAAAAATAACACAGCAAGCCAAGTCATTTAATCCACAACATCATAGTATATTTTATTAAGTAATTACTCGTGAATGTTATTGTAATACAATTATTATGGTATAATTTATAAGTACAATATAACCTCCCTACGTATTTATCTTTAGGCTTCAGGGTTTCCGTAAGTATAATATCAGTAAAATTGTGTGAGTAATCAAGTACATTACATATATACACATAACACGTTAGTAAATGTAATTTATGAATTATTCAGTTAATTAATAAAAACAAAAAAATATATATGATCATAATAATATACAACCAAGACTTAAATCTCATAGATAAATATGTATGTTATACAAATACGTATTAGAAAACAATAAAGAACAACATGTTTGCATAATTTGAGAGAGGGAAGTTGGAAACAAGAGTTAAAATGAAATACAAGTCCGGCCGACGGTCGACATTGCGTGGAAATTTGCCAACAGAAAGCGTCCGATGTATTTTTAAATTTATGGAAATTTGACATAAGACTAAAATGTTTGTCGTCCATTATTATGATTTTATATATCCACTTCTACTGTAAACTAATTAATTTGACAATGTCTATTAATAATATATAGGTTGGTTCAACGAGTTAACTGTAGGTTTAGCACTAACAGTGTGCACCCTCATCAACCGCCTTGATTGATTGTGCGGAAGTAAGCCTCCCGCATTGTATGTGTATATTATATTCACATTCGCAACTAAGTATAGGCTAGAGATAAAGTAAGTAGCTGGCAATAATATTATTGTATATGGTATTTACGACGGCGACAAAGATCTGGAAAGCTTCATAAATCCCGGAGTCCATTAGTGCTCCAATATCTCAACCACGCATTTCTTTGTTATTCCAGTGGACCGCCATCGTGGCACAGCGAGTGAGCACTCCGCTTTAGATATCGGAAAACGTTAATGTACTCAGTGAGATTTAGCTGTGAGCGCTGCGCTAACGTCCTGCAACTTGCCAAGCTCCGTACCTCCTCGCCATTTCGAAACTCGCA